TAGTGACTTGTGCTTATGCTTGGAAGCCTGAGCACCACTTTCTCTGCATCATGGTCTCTTTGAAGACATATTGAAGGGTTAAATGTCGTATAGTAGCTTCTCAAATATCGCAGTTTTAATTCTTAACGTATTTTATTGGAACACACAAAAAAAAATAAAATAATTTGACGGTGGAAACTTGAATTTCAACGGTTTTGAACGGCCGCCAACGTGCAGACGGCGTGCATAATCGTGTAAACAGCGTCATTTCTCTTATGTACAAAAGATTCATTATTGTTTATTACTGAATGTCTTTTTATTGAATTAATGTTTATGTGTGCAAAATGAGCAATACAATTCATTAATATCGTAGAATATTAAAACACACGAGGAAATGACACAGCATTGTTTTTGTTGATTACAAAGCCAGTGACTGACTGGTTCTACATATAAAACTGAAGAAAATAAGACCTTGGTTGTAGCTGTAGTAAAATTAATATGGTTGTTTAAGTAATGTTATTTAATGTTAATAAATGGAACAATAGAAGTAGCTAACGATAATGGTAAAGAAAAAGAGAGATCAGCGTATGTAAGTGCGCATGAGCACCGTAACATATACGTCAATTACTTTACATAAGAATATGAAAGCAACACTTATTTACTGTTCATATATATTTTAATTAATGTTTCTGAATTTGTTTTTATTGAATTAATGTGTGCGTGTGCAAAATTAACAATACAATTTATTAATAATCGTCGAATATTAGAGGAGATGAGGCGGCTGCCGCATTGTTTATGTTAAAGCTACGAAACCAGTGACTGATTGGTTCTACATAAAACTGAAGAAAATAAGACCCTGATTTTAGCTGTAGTAAAATTAATGTAAAAAATTAATATGGTTGTTTGAAGTACCTGTAATGTTATTTAATGTTAATAAATGGAACAATATAAGTAGCTAACCATACTGGTAAAAAATGTGAGACTCTGGCGTATGTAAGTGTGCACATGTGAAAACATATCGTCATTACTCTACATAAGAATCTGAAAGCAACACTTATTTAATGCTCATATATATTGAAGGGTTAAATTTTGTACTCTGTATAGACAGCAGAGAGAGAGAGAGAGAGCAGCCAAACTGCGGATGTAAACAAACCTTAATTTCCGCGGCTTTGTTTTTTTTTTTTTTTTTTAGGGATTAGCCCACCCGGGCATAGGTCACTGACCCACATTGGGGCCTGAGGGCATAAATTTAATACTCTGTAATAATAATTCAGATAAGTAAAAAAGCTGCCTATCTACCTATTGGACAAACTTAAATTGTTCCGGACCACGGGAGTTTCCGGACTAGAGAGGTACAACCTGTATACACACAATAATCTACAAGAGATTGATGAAAACCTTCACTCAAAAGAAAATTATGTAGCATGTTGTTCCAATTTCAGCCACTTTGTTTCAAACCATATAAAGATTTCTTTAATTTACAAACAAAATTTTCACCTTGTATATTACTTTTAACATAACCTTCTGGCTGTTCTAAATAAATTTCACAATCTATGTCAGGATTCAGATAAGCAGTTTTAACATCCATTTGGTGAACTATAAGGTTGTCTTGTATTGCTTGTTGCAGTAGCATCCTTATTGATGTAACACGAGCTGTTGGTGAGGTTTCTTGATAGTCCACATCTTGAACTTGTGAACAGCCTTTAGCTACATACCTAGCTTTGAATTTTTCTTCACTATCAAGGCCAAGTTTCACTGCATAGACCCATTTTCCACCAATTACTGATCTACCTTCAACACTGGTGGCATGAGTTCATGTGTTATTGTCTCTTAGAGCCTCCATTTCCTCATCCATAGCTTTATGCCACTGCATGGATTCTGGAGATGAGACTGCCTCTTGGTAGTTTCTTGGAATATCTGCAACTCTGTAGCAAAAATCAACAGAACACCTGGAAATATTTGAAAAGTCAGGTTCCATCACATAATCATCCATATATTTGGGTTTTTGTCGTTGCCTTGAAGGGTATCTGTTTTTCAGTGTCTTCTGCAGCTGTCTCATTTGTAATAACTTCAGCTTCTGGCTCTGGGTTAGGTGCTGTATATCTTTTATATTCATGTTCGACATCTAACACCACATTTTCCTGATAAAATTGGTACTGAATTTTACACATCTAACTCTCTTAACATCATTTATCTCTGGAAAATATACTAGACAGGCTGGACTCAGTCCATCATATCCTGTGAACACTCTTTGTTCACTGCAAGGATCCAACTTCTTCTTGTTCTGGACATAAGCATGGCATGGACTTCCAAATACAGTCATGCGCCGGTTAACGTCCTAGATACGTTCTTGGAAACGTGACGTTAACCGAAATGGACGTTGTCCGATCATCACATAAACTTTTTATTTATACTTACATGTACAGGTAGTTCTGCTATAACACGATAATTGTGTTCTTGTAAAATATCGTGTTATTGAAAATCGCGTAATAGAAATAACAGGGCTTATGGAGAAAATACGGTTAGGTGCAGATTACTCGAAATCGAAAAAATTTAGTAGTTAGCCTAACACAAAGGATAGCACAGTCTAAATAAATGTTACATTCGTATCTAATAATGAAATCATACAGTAAATGTAACACTTTACTTGATGGGGGAGAAGGGTGATTTTGAGGTTGATAAAATCGAGCTTCTCTTCAAGTGTTATATCCTTTCTTTTACGATCATCACCGGGAATTCTATCACCAGAACGCTTCTTGTTGATATTCTTCTTTACCATATTCACAGTTAATACCACAAAATTGGAGAAATAGCAAGCAGAAATCGCGTTATAGCAAACAAGCGTTCGCGTTATACAAATATCGTTCCTAATTAATAAATCGCGTTAGAGCAAATTCGCGTTATCAAAACACGCGTTATAGCAGAACTCACTGTATGTGGAATACTATATACGTACATATACACTTTTACTCTTAAATCACTACTGTAATGTGATACAGGTGATTAATTTTTATCTCTTGTGCAAAATTCATGACGTTTATATTAAAATGATTCACCGTTTTACAAGGATTCCAGCAACGCCGAGCAGATGGGGGGGAGAGAGAGGGTAGGAGCAAGCGAGGGGGCGTGTGGGGAGGGGAGGTAGTACGTTTGACAGTTGGCGCAGGCCCAGGTCTAATGCGTGTATATTTATCAGTTCTTGGGTGACTAAGCTTCTCTCTTATAAAAAGCCAATGAAATGACCGGGGTGAATATAATTAACATAGCTGGGATTCTTGTAACATATTGATTAATTTGAATATAAACATGCTATAATTTGCACTAGACAAAACAATTTTAGTACTGTAATCAAATTAGTACATGTGCACTCCAGCTTTGCACTAAGGTCATTTATTTATATTACATTTCTTTTAGTATGGTGTGTGCATGTAAATGGATGAAAATAAATGAAGAAATCTATGTAAATCTACTCAAAAATACAGTTGAAAACTTTTTTATAAAATGTACTACAGTACTGTACACTAATGTACAACAATTTTTATCTCTTGAGCAAAATATAGGACGTTTATCTTCAAATTATAGGCTGTTTTGCAAGGATTCCAGCAATGCAAATTATAATCTCCTAACTTTAGTCTGAGATATTATATAAGATAAAAACTGTAAGCATAAAAGCCTGGCTGGAAGGGGGGGAAGGAGGGAGGGGGGGGACTGACGGAACCAGCCACGCCACCCAGCGAGGGGTTGGGGGGGTCGGGGGATTGTGGTGATAAGTTTGAGGCAAAGGTGTCTGTGTGTTTATTTAACAGTCCTACTAAGCTTCTCTCATTTTAAAATGCCAGTGATATGACCTAGGAGAATATAATTAACATGGCTGGGATCCTTGTAAGATACTGATTTATTTGAATATAAACATGTTGTAATTCACACTAGACATAACAATTTTAGTACCGTAATCAAATTAGTACATGTGCACTCCAGCTTTGCACTAAGGTCATTTAGTTATTTTACGTTTCTTTTAGTATGGTGTGTGCATGTAAATGGATGAAAATAAATGAAGAAATTTATGTAAATCTACCCAAAAATACAGTTGAAAAACTTTTTATAAAATGTACTACAGTATTGTACACTAATGTACTACATTTCTTATATCTTGAGCAAAATATATGATGCTTATATTCAATTAATCTCTGTCTTGCAAGGATTTCAGCAATGCAAATTATATTATCCTAACTTTAGTCTGAGATATTATATAAAATAAACAAAGAAATCACCAATCTTTTATCTTGGAACACGAAGGTGGTGGGAAGGGGGGAGGGGGCGGGAGGCGAGGTGACAGAATGTCTGGCGTTTGTTTGTTTATTTATTTATTTGAGATAAGTTTTGACAGTTGGCGCTGAAGGCCTGCCTGCGTGTTTATTTATCATTACTTAAGAGTGACTAAGCTCTTCTCATAATTTTCCACCTAAACAACCAGGGTGAATATAACTGGTGAATATAACTTACATTGGAGGGATTCTTGTAAGATAGTAATTTATTTGAATGTTTTTTTTTTCAATTTAAATTTTAATTGTTTATTCCTTGATAGAGGAAGCGGGATCCTAGTGCTGTCACTTGGTACCCCTGTACCATAACACCAGAAGCAACTGGCCAGTGTCACAAGTATATACAGTACAGTACAGCCATCCCTTGGTTATCGCGCCTAATTGGGACCCCGCCGATAACGAAAGTACAGAACCTATGGGATTTATTCTAATTGGTTCAGGCACCCAATACCCAACCCCAAATTTCCCATTTTACGACCATTTGGACCCACTAAATATATATATATAAAGTTATGAAACGGGTACACTTAATACTGTAGTCCACAAAACATGTAGCTATGCTTTTTTTATTTGTTCCCCCGTCATACGAGTCCGTTTTCTCTCACATCAGGACGCCTGAGTCCTCCGTTTTCTCTCTTAATCTTAGAGTGCACCAGAAACTTTACTATTTTTAGAAATTCCACAGAATTTGAAATTGCAACCCCAATTGCAACTGGGGTTGCAATTGTTGAGGCAACTAGATATGTCTGATTACAGCAAATGTGTTATTGTCAATTTGTAGGTGAAAGATATTATCCTCAATAGATATAGGTTAGCATTTTGCCTGTAGGCAAATGCTTAAAAAAAGCCTAAGTAAGGAAGCATATTCCTTTAACACATAATATCTGACCAGTACGGGGAGGATCATCATGTCTCCATCAGGGGGTCGTGGAGTGGTGGTCCAGCAGGCGTCTCATATTTTTTTTTGGGGGGGGGGGCACGGACATATATGCGATTGGACATTGTTCTGTCGGACGTTAACCGGCGCATGACTGTACATGCATGTGACTCATATTTGGCCTTTTTCCAGTGAACATTTCATAGGGAGTTTTCCAATCCTCGGGTTGTAGTATCTGTTACGAATGTATCCTGAAGCTTTCGCAGCATAAGTCCATAGAGTCTTAGGTACCTTTGCTTCCAACAATAAGCATCTGGCCATATCAAAAATAGACGACCAAGCTCGCTCCGCTGTACCATTTTGATGTGGTGAATATTGAGCAGAAAATTCATGCTTTATGTGATTTTCAATCATTAGAGTTTTAAATTCAGTGGAAGTGAATTCACCACCATTGTCAGACCTTAGTCGTTTGACAGATCCATATGGAGCAGAATCCGCCAAGAATTTTTCTGTAGCTGCCAAAGTATCACTCTTAGATCTGAAAAAATAAATCATTATCATACCAGAGAAGTCATCTACAAAGGAAATGGTATACAGTACTTAAAACCTTCTCTTGCAGTAGGGTCTACAGGACCTGCTAAATCACAGTGTACAAGTTCTAAATTGGTTGTAGCTCGCTGATCAGGTTCTCTACTTCTATGCTGAGACATATTACCTGAAATGCATACATTACAGTCAAAATTATTCTTATCTGTAATGTTCATACCATCAACAACATTTTCTAATTTAAGTATATCTTTCACATTACAATGACCTAAAATTTTATGCCATTCCTCAATTGTATGACTGCTGCTTTTCTGTGAGTTCACATTATTCAGATAATACAGTTTACCATGTTTATTGATATCAAACACTGTACCATCTGAGGCCTTCAATTCTGCAGAATTTGGGGTAAAGTTTACTGATGCACCTTTCTGTGTGGCCGCTAAAACAGAAAATATATTCTGTTTATAGGAAGGAACACACAGAGCATTTTTGAGTAGAACTTTATGACTATTACCATTAACATCAATAATTTCAACTCTCACATCACCTCTACCTGATACAATACCATTTTGCCTACCATCTGCCAATTCTATACAATGGTTAGAAGAATCAAAATTCTGATCAAATTTTACAAACTGGGATTTATCACTTATGATATGTGATGTTGCTCCACAGTCTACTAACAGGCATTGTGCATTTACATCACTACTTACATTATTATAAACAGAACTAACACTAGCTCTAAATGCAAGTGAATGGTTATCTTCTTCACTGTTAATTACAGACTTTACTGAATTATTTCTGCGGCAATAATTTGTATCATGAGTAGGGGATTTGCAGTTGTCACACCACCTACTAGATTTTGCTTCATTGGGATTATATTTGTCTTTACTTCTGCGCTCAAATTTTCTGTGTCCTAATTTTCCACAGGAAAAGCATTTAATATTCATATTTTTTAATTTTGTATTCATCACATAATCTGCATCCTCACCTTGTTGTTGTTGACACTTTTCAGTTTCTTCAAAACTTCTTAATGCTACTTTAAATTCAGAGAAACTAACAGCTGTTTCTTTCTGCGTCACAACAGTAGAAAATGTCTTATATTCTAAAGGTAATCCTTTTAATAACATTGCTACAAGTAAACTGTCACTGCTGGTTTCACCTGCTAGCTTCAATAAAGCTGCTGCCGTTTCAGCCCGTGTCACGTAGTCAGTAATGGCCTCTTCAGTGGATTTCTTGAGTGATGTCAGTTCTGTATACAAGGCAATAATTCTTGGCTTGCTGCTACCTAGATAATGTTCACGGAGAATCTTTAATGACTTCCTACCGTCATCTTTGGCATCTCGGATGATAAGGGAAAGACTTCGATCGTGGAGGTACTGCACTAGTTCTGCAAACACTTGAGCGTGCTTCTCCGTCATGGCTGCACCGTCTCCATCTTGATTAATGACATCGAGAAGTTTTTGAAGTCTTAAATGGCCTAAGAACTTCACTTCCCACAACTCATACTTGCTTTCATCACCATCAAACACCAACCTGTGCCTGGGCCCATAACATGTTGATATTACAGTGTTCATTTTGGTGGATAACAACGAAATATGATACGAGAGGCTCAGACAATGACACAAGCATTGTTGCTCTTTCGAATATATTTTGTGAACTGTTCGTAAAACAAAATAGACATTACATGCGCAGCAAAGTGGTGCTTTATTCCACAACTAACAGAAAACATAATAGAATATATTCACATAAATTCCACATCAATTAATTGGTAATAATGAAAAGTTAGATACTAACTATAATCAAATATGAATTACAAGTAAATATGGGGTAACCTAGTTTATATCTAACAGTCTTGTCTGTTTGAGAGCGTTGAGTAGAATGCTCTTCTCGGCAAGGCTGGAGGAATATTATACACAAGTTCGCCAGAAGTGAATGTTGCTGCTGGCCGACCACCGCACAGTCAGACAGTTAAGCTTCGCTGAGAAACTCACCGCGGGATCGGCTGGTCAGCGACAGTTGTAGGGGAGAGTATCCACTACAAGCGTCAGATGTCAAAACAACACTGTCCCCTTATTTCCCTACCCCCTCCCTCCCTCAACACTGCCAATGAAGTTTCTAGAGGATCAATATACAGTGGTCCCTCAGTTAACGAAGACAATTCATTCCACAGAATCGTTCGTTAACCAAAAATTTTGTTAACCAAATCCATTATTTCAATGGGATATTGGGTAATTGGTTCCAGCTCACAGAAAAGTATATACAAAGTATAAACAAAATGTAGTAAAGTCCTCTTACTTTGAGGTGTGTATGTAGAAGGTTCCTGGTTGATGATGATAATGGGAATTAGAAGTGGGGGATGGAGGAGGAGAAGGGAGAAGAGAAGGAAGTGGGGATGGAGGAGAAATCGCCTTTCTTTGGACCCATGCTTGATGCAGTAATTTCACCAATAAAATTTTAAGTTCACTAGCTGTAATTACAGATTATTTTATTTAAATCAACACTGCACTGCGCTATACATTATCAACATGTTAACTAAATTTCAAAATAACCAATAACTTTAATGTTAAAGTGTAAAAATACTCTGTATTCAAGAGAGCAACACACACGATGTTTCCTCCACTGTAAACAAAGTTAAACTGACGCTTTGGTGGGTGAGTCAAGCGGCTGATGGGCACACAAAAAACTAGTTCCCTGTACTGCACATATTATCAATATGTTAACTAAATTTTAAAATGAATAATAATTTAAATATATAAAATGCAAAAATATTAAAGAGCACAACCTTCTTGATATTTACTCCACTGGAAACGAATGTAAACATAGAACCGATTACTGTACAGTATTGGCTGACTAGCCCATCAGCTGATGCTCACAACAAAACGTGTTTGTCGTATGGATTTCGTTAATCGAAGTTTTGTTCCTTAACCAAATCGAAGATCCGTATGGGAGCTCATTCGTTAACCAAAATTTTGTTAATCGAACCGTTTGTTAACCGAGGGACCACTGTATAGCTTTTCTAAATTATTTTTTTTATTAATTTATCATTTAAAAAAGGTTAAAAATTATATTTGGAAAAGTTGATTTGTCTAGATTTACCCCCGGGTGGGGGTGCCAGCAGCACCCTAACCTGGGGCTTAAGGTTAATGGATATCATTAAAACTGGTCAGCTGTTTGTGCTATGGGGTTTAGTGTGGTAATTTGGGGGGATAAAATTTATTATTTTACAGTAATGTTTTATTAACTCGGCACCAAATGAACCTAAATACAGTAATATGGGAATGATGATGAAATTACATACTGTCATTATATGTAATGGGCCCCTATCTCATCAACAGAACATATATAAATGGTTCAATACATCTGATATTATATTCAGATTCACCACCCTGTAACTTTCCACTGTCTATGAGTAAGACATGACTTGTACACGTGAGAGGGCAACTCTCCCAGGAGGTAGAGACCCATCGTCAGCATATCTGTAAGCCCCGCACAGCGAGGTCCTTACTCGAGTAGTCGCTCACAGAAAGATATATCGTAAGGACGAGACCTAACGTTTATAATACATAAACGCCGTCCCTTTCTCATTCACTCCTATACAGTGGAACTTACGGTCAATCTACACTCAGGAATTATAGATACAATCCTTTTATAATAAAACAAGGAACTACAGTTTGGGTTTCGTTACTTAAGCCCAAATAATAAATATATGTTAACGGCCTCGTTAATTGTACAACACAGCCAATTCAAATAGGTGGCAAGCAGTGTGTACGGATGCTTAAACTGATAGTCGTATCAAACCGCCTGTGTTTTTTTGGGAAAACAGAAAACACACAACAGTGACGCGTTACATAATCCGAGTGTTTAAAACTATATCCCGTATAGGGACGATATATAGTGAGTGCTCCTTATCTCTGTCACATACAAAACGTGCAGAATTCGTAATATATATACAGTGACCCCTCGTTTAACGAACGCCTCGGTTAACGAAATTTCGGTTAACGAACTGCCTTCCATAAGGATCTTCAATTCAGTTAACGAATTTCTTACGAACCGACCTCAACATGTTTTCGCTTGCACTGACTGGGCAACCAGCTTTAGTATCAGTCCGCCAATACATTAATCGGTTCTAGGGCTTAAATTCCTTACTATTTTAGTAAATATCAAGAAGTTTATACTATTCAATAATTTTAAAAGTTTAATATTCAATTTTTTAGTCATTTTAACAATTATTGAACATAATTGAAGGTAAAGTGACTAGTTTAATTCGGCATCCAGCCTCTTAACACAGCAAACAGGCGTTAGTCTCTCTCTGTTTTCACTGGAGGTAACATCTTGCTTGAGACTCTTTTCAACTCGCTTTTTCTGTGTTTCCAACCAAATTATTGGTCATTTTGAAATACATTTTACATATTGACAATATATAATGCAGTGCAGTGTTGATTTAAGAAAATAATCTTGAAATACACCAGAGAACTAAAATTTTATGGGTGAAATGGTGCCATGGGGTGACTTCTCTTCCACCCCAATGACTTCTCTTCTTCCTTCTCCTCCACCCCCATTCTAATTCCCATCATCATCATCATCATCCAGGAGCCTTCTACATACACACCTCAAAGTAAGTGAACTTTTCTACCATTTTTGTTGAATTTTGGAAATTTTCGGTGAGCTGGAACCAATTACCCAAAAACCCATTGAAACAATGGTTTCGGTTAACGAACTTTTCGGTTAACGAACGACCTTCTGGAACGGATTGAGTTAGTTAACCGAGGGGTCACTGTACAGTGAACCCTCACTTTACGCGGTTAATTGAACCCATGGCGGCCTGCGTAAAGTGAGCAACGCGTAAAATGAACAACATAACATATGGGATTAATTGAAATAGAGACCGGGCCGACCCCCAAACTCCACTTTTTCCCGACACAATACATACGTTTTACTAAAAATAACATCTTAACTTTATGATGGTATTCACACACACATAATATAGAAGGGAACAATCAATAAGAGAATAAAATACTGAAGGTCAGGTTAGAAAAAACAAGGTTGGGGTTAACACTTACGTTAGTAGAAGAGATGGGTCTGCGTAGGGGAATGGAGGCTGGTTCCGAGGCAGAGGGCAGGTTACTGGCCCTCAGGTGAGTCTTCATCGCTGTCATCCACACTTACTAGTGCCTCCCTGACAAATCCCTCAAAGTCATCATCACTATCTCTGCCTCTGTCACTATCACTGGCTTGGGCTGGCTGTGGTGGGTTGCAGGCGAAGAACTCGGTTATGCTTTGCTGACGGCTGGTGTTTATGTTGTCGTGATAAACCTTGATGTAGGGCTCCATAGTCTGCAACAGCTGGGTAGTGAAGATTTCATACCTGTTAGCGTCAGGGTCGTCGGAAAGGAGGAGCTTGACTTTCTCGATACACTCGATGGCACCCCTTACATTACTATGGGATAACTGGCATTCTTCTTGGGATGACGCACCACCTGCCTCTTCACTGACGTCTTCATCATCTACCATCTCGTCGTTAGTCACATCAGGATCCCTTATCACCTCCAGGATGTCGTCATTGGTGGTCTCGGAGAAGCCTGCAGCTGTAACACTTTGCGCAGCTTCTCTGGCAAGGTCCACTGCTACTGCAACAGTCTGAACCTCACCAGTCACAGATTTACTCTGCCTAACACCCGGAATACCTTGCAACACATGTCTCCATGCGTGAGGAACAGTTGCTACAGACAGCTGATCCCATGCCTCCACCAAGAAGTCTTGACGTTGAATATTCTCCAAAATTGTCTCAAAAGTACTTCTTGCTCTGCCAACTGTTGATCCTCGTCATCTTCGCTCTTGCTATCGGTGTTGGTGTCACTCAGGTTACGCAACTCTTCCTTGGTGTTGGTGTAGTCGTTCAGGAGCTTGAATTTTTTAGCAGAGAATGCAGCTTTTACATTACAGATCAATTCTTGGTCCATGGGCAGTATTATAGACGTAGTGTTGGGAGGAAGGAAGACCACTTTTATGTTGGGGTGACGATCTAACAGTAGGGTCGAGTGTCCTGGTGCGTTGTCAAGCAGCAACAAAATCTTGAATGGAACATTCTGTTGCTCACAGAATTTCTTCACAACGGGAACGAAACAGTCATCAAACCAGGAGAGGGACAGAGTAGAGAACATCCACGCCTTACGTGCGGTCAGCCAGTGGACATTTAGCTTGGTCATGTCCATGCTCTTGTAGGCGTGCGGCTTGCGTGCTGTGTGGATCACCAATAACTTGAGCTTACAGGTACCGGAGGCATTGGTGGTAAACAGGACGGTGATGCGCTCCTTTTGCAACTTCCAGCCCCGACACTTGCTGGCATTCTTCACAACGAAGGTCATGGAAGGTAGCTGTTTCCAAAAAAGACCAGATTCGTCCATGTTAAACACCTGGTCGTCGGTGTACTGTCCTTCCTCCATAATCTCACGTAAAAACGGAGGAAATTCCCTAGCCGCAACACGGTCAGCACTAGCTTCTTCACCACCAATGTTGATATTGGTGATCTTGTTCCTCTT